CACACACACACACACACACACACACACACACACACACACACACACACACACACACACCTGTTCGTGCTCCATAGAAACAAACTACCCACCTGTCTCTGCTTTATGACAGCAGTGATGTTTCACTTCATCTCTTCATATGATCCATGTTTAACCATTACACTGCTGGGAAGAACCGAGACTCACTTGTCTGCGCAGGTCTAGTCAGGAAATGTGTGATGCAGCCAATAGGTCCAGTAAGCAATGTGAACGTGCATTAATCCTAAATGATTCAAAGCTGGCTTGAACGAGTCGCCTTGTTTAAGCATTASATCAACAGATTAGCTGTTTACAAGTTGAAGACTTTTTCAAGCTCAACTTACTGCTGATATCCTGAATTTATTAATCTGACTTTTGAGAAATGAGATCGGACTCTGCACGGCTCATCTTTGTGCACACTCTAAAGATTTCATTGTTGATTTTTCTGCTGAGTAAACACAACGCTTCTTGAAATCTGGAAGCTTTGTGGTTTTTGCCACAGAAGAGTGGATTTCGGTTCAACACCTAAAAACAATGACAGTAAAAACATATAAAGCAAGGTTTTTGAWTCAGTACATAAAATAGTCACTGGTTACTCAGGAAACTTGTTCTGTGTTACCTACCTGGGTGAGCCTATCACATTAGGTTATAAGGAGCAAAATATACTTTTTGATATAAAGACAGCGTGATGCAGAAAAGACAGACTCTTGGTGCCCAGTGTTTAACAAGAAGCCCTTAGATCATCTCCCTACAGGACAGCTCCATGCTGCTACTGTTCCCAGTGTTCCTCGTTACCATCAGAAAATGATGGCAGGTATGAACTCATAATAATAATAATAATAATAATGATAATAATAATATAGAATTAAATTACAGGAGAGCTCTGACTCTCTAAGTTTCATACAAACCAAAGCAACATATAATCATTCAGCAGTTTGCAATGCAAAAGTTTTATTGAAGTCTTGTTAAAAAGATGCTTCAATAAGGAATTAAATTCAGGAAAATTATTTATGTGAACAGGAAATCTAAAAATGATTCTTACCTGTCATGTACACTCACCGGCCACTTTATTAGGTACACCACGCTAGTAACGGGTTGGACCCCCTTTTGCCTTCAGAAC